AGAAGAAATTCTACCGCACGACGGCCGAAAAACCCATTAGTTTCAGCTTTCTGTATGTAGAGAGTTTCTGCATAACGGTGTTTTATAGAACAACAAATATCAGAATATTTTGGGCTCGACATGGATAAAGTTAACTCCTTAAATTGAAAGCAACTAAACGATGTGTTTGTGAGCCCAATTGGGGTTTGAAATTCAAGTGCGGCAAAGAGACGACAACAAGTGAACGCTACTAAACTACAACAAATTTATGGACGTTTTCCCAATAAACGATCACTGACTGCCAGGAAACCCAACTTTTTATCAATTTTCCCAGCATTAAAAGTGTGGTTGCTTCTATTGTATAAGTGTGCTGTGGATTACTCATGTCTTTTGTACCGAACTCCTCATCGGGTTCCCTTTTCGCGCTTTCGGAAGCCACTCGGTAAACATTGTTGATGTAAAATCTACCAAGTAAATACGGGTACTTTTGTATCTAGAGTAGTTGACACTATTAATTATATGATTAAGTTTAGTTGGGGTGTTCCCTTAAGTGCCAAAGTCTTGCTCAGTTACGCATTTGCTTTGCACAAATTTCCGTTGCTTGGCCGCCAAACATTGAATCGAGTGATAAATGTAAAAAATGTAAGATAGAAACTGTACCTTTGCTGATGGCAGTCACGCCTTCCTATAAATGTTGCAGACGGATTTAATGGTGCTTTAAAAGTCATTGATATACTGATATCATGTGCTCGAACAAACCTGTAAATAGCCAAACCAATGAACCTGCTGAACTGAATTTTTTATTAATTCGGCAAGTTCATTGATCGAAACAACCATGGTACTATGACTTATTCAATTATTTGTACATTTCCAGTAGCTAGTGTACATACAGTAGCTAGAGAATTAATTACCACCCCTAACAATAGGATTCTTATGGAATTTTAATAGAATTTATTGATTTGTGGCGCGATTTGCTCAATTTTAAGCGGCAACTTTCCAAAGTCCTTCTTCTCACAAGGAGGATTTTAGAGATGTGTTTAACACTCAGAGCGTGTTTAAAGATCGCCAACAATTTCGCATTTTTTTCAGTCAACAGTATTTTTAATCGTTCCTTTCCCTTATAAGAGAAACTGTTTCTATTCCGGATTTGTGTTGCTGCCAAAACTGCAATCGAATTGAGCAAATACTGCATACAAAAAGACCAAAACCCACATTTTCAGCAGTTGTAGCGCCAAGGCGGCAGACTAAAGTAGAACAAATACAGTTCAAATTTCTCATAGTTAACCGAAAAAACCCATTTGTTCAATTAAGAAGACACATTTTGCTTCAGTTGGACCGATATGTTTTTTGCGTCAACCACCTTGTTTGGGATAGTAGATGCTTAAGCCACGGGTTGTCTTTAAGTAACTGTTTTGACCGCTTAGTTAAAGATAACTTTGTAACTGTTTAGCCGTAAATTGAAACCCTAAAGACCAAGTAAAGTAAGATTTCTGAAAGTGCTTTTCGGCAGCAAACGTGGATGTTTTTCAAGAGCTTCTATGCTGAGAAAAACGGCGTTTCTTTGAACAGCATTTTCCTTCACTGTACATTCGCTTAATAACGCTACTTATGGTTAAGAGTGAAAAATGTTAGCGAATAAGATTTGTACAATTTCTGTTAAACGCGATTTGGAAATCCCTTATAAACATTTATGAATATTTATCGGAACTTGAGTCAACGTGAAACAGGCAAATGATGAACTTATTTAGGAATTTATTACATTTTATATGTTACGTATATTGAATTTGTTATTATATTGTTAATAGGCGATTATCAAATTTCGAGCTGCGCTTACAAAACACCCTCATTCTGCATCGGAAGTTTGCCGTTTTGTAATTTCAACTCGACCAATTGTAAATTAGTTCAGAGTAACGTTCGGAGGAGTTCTTATGAAAGCAGATAATACCGTGTTCGCTCATATCACTACGAACACACTGCAAATTCAATTTTTGTAAGAATACGGCAGTGTTGTGTAATACCTTCCTTTGCTGTGTGCCAAATTTCCACAAGAATTTTGTCATTGTTATACCTAATTAAATATAATTCCCATTAATGGAAATGTCTTGTTCTTTTTGTCCAGTAAATTTGCAAAAATTGATTTAAAAGATTTTCAAAAATCATAGTCATCCAATAAAAGTTTTTAAATATTTGAAATATACACAAAAAATTTCATTTGCGGCTTTGAAGACTTATTGGGTTCAATTTAAATAATTTCTAAGTTCAAAGGTGTTTTCGAAGAATCTGCAAACGAATAGTTAGTTTGGGTATTGGATGTTGAGAAAC